ACTGTATCAACTCCAGCTCTGAGATCCTGGCGGGCTGAAAGCAGGTTTCTGGGGTTTTGTTTAGCTTCTATATTTGTAAGAATGTTCCTTAAACTGCAAGCTCAGAGGCCTGCAAGGCAGGCGAGGAACGTTGGAGTCCTCCATCACTGAAGAAAGCAAGCCTCATGTTAGTTTCAAGCTACCTGGCTGCCGGCCGCCATCCTGGCTGGCAGTTAATTTGCATATCGCCCTGATTAGCCAATGGGAAGGGTAGCGGTCATACACTAATTACCATGTTTCTCGTTTATTAGATAGTATAGTGCTCAGGCTATTATAAGGATGCTCAACAGCATAAAAAAGGACACAGAAACCATAAAAAAGGACAAGTCAGAAATGAAGAATGGCTTATCTGAAATAAAGAAAACACTGAAGGAATAAACAGTAGGTTCAATGGAGCAGAGGATAGAATCAGTGATTTAGAAGATAAAATAGGAAAAAACACCCAATTAGAGCAGCAAAAAGAAAAATCAATTTTGAAAAATGAGTATAGTTTAAGGGACCTTTACGACAACATGAAATGTAACAACATCCACATCATAGGGGTCCCAGACAGAGAAGAGAGAGAGCAGGCATCCAGAACTGATTTGAAGAAACAATGACTGAAGACTTTCCTAACGTGGTGAAGGAAAAAGACATACAAATCTCCTCAAATAAGATGAACCCAAAGAGGCCCACACCAAGACCTATCATAATTAAAATGGCAAAAGTTAGCCCAGCCAGCATGGCTCAGTGTTTGAGTGTCAACCTATGAACCAGGAGGTCAGGGTTTTATTCCCAGTTAGGGCACATGCCTGGGTTGCAGGCTTAATCCCAAGAGGCAGCCGATCAATGATTCTCATCATTGATGTTTCTATCTCCCTCTTCCTCTCTGAAATCAATAAAAATATATATATATATTTTAAAATGGCAAAAGTTAAAGACAGAGATAACAAAATGATAATCTGAGAAGTTGCAAGAGAAAGGCAGTCAGTTACCTACAAGAGAGCTCTCATAAGACTATCAACTGATTTCTAAACAGAACATTTCAGGCCAGAAGGGATTGGCATAAAATATTAAAAGTGATGAGAGTGTCAGGATCACAGATTATGCCCCTCTCGCTCCAGTTCCCAGGGAGTAGTGTTAACTGCCTACCACCACAGCAGCAAAGACTGGGCCATAGGAGAGAGCCATGGTCAGGGAGGGGAGGAAGCCACCTCAAGCATAATGCTGTCCAGGTCCATCCACACTGTCGTAAAAGTTGCAGATATGGCCAGTATGAACCAAGAAATCACCAAAGCTAAGGAGAAGCCTCCATTTGATCGATCAAGTTCCCATGGATGAACTATCTATGGAGGACTACTGGAATGAAATTGACAATATCAAGAAATCTAGTGAGAACAGACAAAATCAAGAGGTGGTAGTTATCAAAGAGCCTGACGTGGGTGAATTAGAAGAGTAGCTGAAGGAGGCTGGTTTGTCTAATCTCTTTGGAGAGTCTGCTGGAGATCCCCAAGAAAGCATGGTGTTTTTATCAACATTAACCCAAACCAGGCAGCAGCTATTCAGAAATGGGTAGAGAATATCTCCCAGACTTTAAGGAAAAAGAACAAACAGTACCACATTCCTGTTGTCAGAGACATATTTGCTTAGTAGGCAGAGTCAAAAGAAAAAGCTCCAGGTGGCAGTGAATCACAGTCAGTTAGAATAAATAAAAACAAATACCAAGGAAAAGATGACCAGGCATCTATCCTAGTTGTTGTTGAAAGAAGCTGATGCCACTGGTGCCTGAGGAGGCACCTGCCTCTGAAATAGTTATCAACCTGGAGGTATCACCTGCAGAGTAAGCTGTCAATCAGAAAGACAGTTCCAGGATAGGAACCAGAAAAGCAAAGGCAACAATGCCCCATTACCTAATTTCAGATTGCCAAAAACCAAAATAGGTACCACCAGGATTGGTAACCTAACTGCCCAGGACATGAAGAAAATTTGCTATTTAGCCTTGATTGAACTGACCACCCTCTATGATGTACTGGGTGTTGAAATGAAACAACAAAAATAAAGATCGAGCCCTAACTGGTTTGGCTCAGTGGATAGAGCATCGGCCTGCGGATTCAAGGGTCCCAGGTTCAATTCCAGTCAAGGGCATGTACCTTGGTTGCGGGCACATCCCCATTAGGGGTTGTGCAGGAGGCAGCTGATCGATGTTTCTCTTTCATCAATGTTTCTAACTCTCTATCCCTCTCCCTTCCTCTCTGTAAAAAATCAATAAAATATATTTTTTTTAAAAAAATGAAGATCAAAACAAAAGATTCTTACCTTTTTTGTGTTCCACTGACAGTATTGTTAGAACAAGATCAGAGGAAAGTACCAGGAACTCAAATATCCTTGATATTTCAAAAACTGATTGATTTTTCTAATTGAAGAGGGAGATTTGGAAACTGACAGCCTCTTAAGAATACCTGGAGCTGTCAATAGAATCAAGAATCTTTGCCAAGCCCTAGAAGCAAAGTTTTATGAAGGGACTTTTAACTGGGAAAATGTCAAGCAGCCCAATGCAGCCAGCCTGCTGAAGCTGTTCATCTATGCGCTGCCCCAGCCACTGTTCAGTGTAGAATACCTCAAAGCCTTCCAAGCTGTCTAGATTCTTCTAATCAAGAAGCAACAACTATAGGCTTTGAACCTTCTTGTCATCCTTCTGCAGGATGCAAATCAAGACACACTGAAGGCCCTGCTTGAATTTCTCCAAAGAGTAATAGACCGTCATAAAAGTAGCAATGGTCATGGCCCCCAACCTTTTCATGTGTCAAACATTGAGTTTGAAGTTCAGCAAACAGCGAGAATTTGTAACAGTAGCTGGTACAGCTAATGCCATGCACTTATCAAAAACTTCTGTGGACAATTCCCAAGTTTCTTGTCAACCAAATGAGGGAGCAAAACACCAAAAATCTTAAGAAAGATGAAAAAAATGAGAAATTGATGAAGAAAATGGCTTATGACCAAGAAAAATATGAAAAGCAAGATAGGAATACAAATGATGTAAGAAAACCTTGAAGATATGTATTTATACAGGTTTTAGTACTGTTTTTAATATCACACAGCAAAGAGTTCTGCATGTTTTTGTTGTATGACTTAATACACATTCACTAGGTCCTGGTACTACATATAAGATAAAGTCATCAATAGCGATAAGTGTACTCCTGCAATTAGTAATGCTCGACAGTTGCTCAGGTGTTGGGGATTCAGCATGTAAGCTGTTAATTGGTAGGTAACAAAGGAAGATAAGACCAGCATGTCTCAGAACGCATCCACTCACACATATACAACCAAGGACTTCCTGGAGACTCCAGCTGCCCAGGAAATGTGTAATGTCTAGTGAATAAAAAGTCCCTTGTGTGGACCATGGGTCTTTTTTCTTCAATGTTTCTCATCTATGAAATGGGGGAAAATAACTAACCCACAAAGACAGATAGGTCAATGTGTATGTTGTGCCTCAGATACTTCCTGGACTTCATTAAGTATTTAAAGGTTCTTAATTGGATCATAAGAGGCATTTGGAAAAAGTTAGTTACAATGGAGAAAATTAAAATATTTCAGAAAAGAAATATTTAGACTGTTATAATAATACATTAAGAGCTGGGTTTAAAATAATGAAATATACAAGAAAACACATTTTTGAAGTGAGTTACCAAAACTCTAACTTGAAACCTTAATATGAAATGGAAGGATTTCTATTATTCTATTTATGGTGAAAACACCCCCACCACCATCACCATTAAGGTTAATCAGTTGCATGCTGCCATCCTGTGGCATATTGTGGAAATGCAATTATCAGCCTTTGATATTTCTGCTTTGGCCTACTTAAGGATCCAGTAATTACAGGGGGAAAGGGGAACCTCCTTTATTCATTGATAGCTCTCACTGTTACAAAATAAAATTCTCTTATCATTTAAAAAAAAAAGATGAAAACCAAGTACCTACAACCAAGGCTACTTTACCCTGCAAGGCTATAATTCAAATTTCAAGAAGTAAAGAGCTTCAAAGACAAGAAAAAAACTAAAGGAGTTTATTACCAACAAACTAGTATTATAAGAAATGTTAAGAACTTGACGGAAAAAGAAAAAAGATCAAAGAAGGAAGAAAGAAGGAAGAAGAAAATCAACGACAGAGAAACATAGTTAAAAAATAAAACGGCAATAAATATGTACCTATCAATAATCACTTTAAATGTAAATGCATTAAATTCTCCAATCAAAAGACAAAAGGTAGCTAAATGGGTAAGACACACCTCAGAACAAAATATACACACAGAGTAAAAGTAAAGGGATGGGAAAAGGTATTTCATGCAAAAGGAAAGAAAAAAAAAAGCTGGGATAGCAATCCTTATATCTGACAAAACAGACTTTAAAATAAAGGCCATGCAGGATACAAAGAAGAATACTATATAAGGATAAAGAAAGCAATCTAACAAGAGGACATAACCCTTGTAAACATTTATGGACCCAACATAGGAGCATCTAATACTAAAGCAAGATTCTTGATGGACATAATCTCAATAAATTTAAGAAGACCGAAATTATATCAACCATTTTCTCTGACCATAATGCTATGAAACTTGAAATCAATCACAAGAAGAAAACTGGAAAACACAAAGACATGGAGGCTAAATAACATGTTATTAAACAATCAATGGGTTAACAATGAGATCAAGAAAAAAATCAAAGGATACCTTAAAACAAATGAAAATGACACAACAACCCAAAATCTGTGGAACAAAGGGAAAGTAGTTCTAAGAAGGAAATTCATAGCATTACAAGCTTATTTCAGGAAATAAGAAAAAGCTCAAATGAACAATCTAATTTCACTCTTAAAGGAACTTGAAAAAGAACAACAAAGCCCAGAGTGGATAGAAGGAAGGCAATAATAAAGATCAGAGCAGAAATAAATGAAATAGTTTTAAAAAGCAACACAAAAGATCAATGAAAACAAGAGTTGGTTTTTAGAAAAGATAAACAAGGTTGACAAACATTTAATGAGACTCATCAAGAAAAAAAAGAAATCAAAGATCTAAAATAAATACTCCCTGATGAACAAAAATAGATCCAGAGACAAATGGCGGACACTGGGGCAGTGAGGGCTTGCCCTCCAGGGTGGGAGTGGCTGGTGGCGGGGTGTGGGGGCGTCAATCTGAGAAAAAGGAGACATATGTAAAACTTTAAACAATAAAAAAAGAGCATGTCACCCATTAAAAATAAAATTTATAGGCTAAAAAAAATACTCCCAAAACTTTATATGGAACCAAAAAAGACCCTGAATAGCTACAGCAATCTTGAAAAAGAAGAACAAAGTTGGAGAAATCATAATAATGGATATCAAGTTATACTACAAAGCCATTGTTATCAAAACAGCCTGGTGCTGACACAAGAACAGGCCTATAGATCAATTGAACAGGACAGAGAACCCAGATATCAACCCAAGGCATAACACTCGATAAATATTTGACAAAGGAGGCAAGAACATACAATGGAATAAAGACAGTCTCTTCAATAAATGGTGTTAGGCCTGCCTAGTGTGGCTCAGTGGTTGAGAGTTAACCTATAAACCAGGAGGTCAGAGTTCAATTCCCAATCAGGGCACATGCCTGGCCTGTGGAATCAATACCCCAGTGGCGGGCATGCAGGAGACAGCTGATCAATGATTCCATCTCATTACTGATGTTTCTATTGCTCTCTCCTTCTCCCTTCATCTCTGAAATCAGTAAAAATATTTTTTTTTAATTTTTTTAAAGTAAATGGTATTGGGATAATTGGACAAATACATGCAAAAAAGTGAAACTAAACCACCAACCTACACCATACACAATAATAAATTTAAGATGGATAAAAGTCTTAAATGTAAGTCATGAAACCATAAAAATCTGAGAAGAAAACCTAGGCAGCAAAATCTCAGCCATCTCTAGCAGCAATGTTTGCAAATACATCTACTAGGACAAGGGAAAATAAACAAATGGAACTACATCATAATAAAAAGCTTCTGCACAGCAAAAGAAATCATCAACAAAATGAAAAAGGAGCCCATTGTATGGGAGAACATATTTGCCAATGACATATCTGATAAGGGGTTAATGTCTAAAATATACAAGGGATTCATACAATTTAACAAAAGGAAGACATAAATCCAATTTTAAAGATGGG